CTCTTCTAATCACAGAAGAAAGCATTTCACAGTTCACAGAGTAACTCTATCCTTTTGTTATACAACTGCTTCCTTGGCTTTAGCTACCTGGCAGTTCCAAACAATTGAGCAGCTGCCATCTAGTGGCGAAGATCTGTCATGGCGTTAAGGAAGCTGAGCACTGAGAACAGTAGAACAGCGATGTTACTCCTGCAAGGAGGAATTTACTAAAAACATTAACACGTTTCACAACAGTGAAGCCATTTCACACTAAACTATAGTCCGAGCTGTAGATAAATGGTCTCAAGTTTTTAATTCTTTTGTATTAAAATGTAAAAAAAAAACCTATCAAAATCACAATGAAATGCAGCTACAGACACTTAGAATGACTCAAGGAAAAGGACAAAAGCGACAATATCAAATGTTGATGAAGATTATTTGCACGCATTGGTGTTAGGAGGCAGAATGGTTAAACCACTCTGGAAGACAGAGGACAGCTTCTTATAAAGTTAGACACACACGTACTAGAAACCCACAGTCACATCTCTACACATTTGTTCCTAAAAGACTGAAACCAAATATTTATGTAACATCTGAGCACACATATCTATAGAAGCTTTGTCTGTAATAATCAATAGCTGGAAGGATACCAAAAGTTCACCAAGTAATTAATGGATAAGTGATGATCCGTCTCCCCAATGGAATACTTCAATTCAACCTAAACAAATGAATTATTGAAACACATAACAACATAGATGACTCTCAAATGAGTTGCTAAGAGAAACCAGACTACATAGGCTATAATTCCACTCATAGAATATTCTGTAAACAAGAAACCCTAAAAACAGCAATCAGCTTGGTGATTATCAATGAGGGAGGCATCAGACAAGGGGAGGAATCACAGATAGGAGGAAACTTCTGGTATAAAGGACCTGCTCTTTATCTTTTTGGCTGATGGCTCCCATGATTATATGAATTTAAAAGTTTGTCAAAAGCCTTATGATTTTATACTTTGGAAATATGACAATAAGTAAATAAAAAAGGATAATAAAATACTTCAAAAACAGTGGTCTGGAGATCGTTGAAGTTTTGATTACCAATCACTGAAGAACACTAGAAGGGCAGTCAGTTATCCTGTGTCACAGATGCATGAGACAAATGGAAGGAGCTTCAGACAGATAGAATGTAAGACTTTCCACACGTACCCACAAGAATTCTGGAAAAAATGGTTTTCAAAACTTTCACTGCTTAAGGTTTGCCCTGGAGTTTATAGGTATATTCTAGTTTTTAACTCTGAGCTCTTCTTATTGTTTATGTAACAGTAACCTGTTGGTCACTTTGTTAGGTGACACACATATTCCAATGAATAACATTTAATTATATTTTTTTTATTTTTCAAAATATTCCTATAACTGCATAGCCTTGTGAGGAGGTCAAGTAGTTCTCTCTATTTAAAAAAATCCTCTACTATCATAGAATTTACACCATTTAAAAAGTCTATTTTTTTATTCTGGAGTGACATTATACAATAACTAATCATGTACATTTATGAAAAATTAACTTGTTACCTTGATATTCATTAGATTTTGTAGAATTAAACATCTCATGTTATATTGTCAGTACTTTTAAATACCCTAAAAATAAAAACAAATACAGCAAGAAAGTTGTAAGCTATAAAATAATAGGATAGCCCAAACCATAGAAGCCAGAAATGGGCAATAGTGACATCTTTGGTTGAGAGGAGGG